CAAAGGAACGCGATCAGGTACCAAATGTACAACCCTTTTTCGTTTGCTTTGTTCCCAATTGGCAGTTGGGCCCGCAACCTTCCAAAAGGTATTTTTTGTTAAATTTTTTCATTTTGTAGGTCTGGTTAACGAATTTTAGCTCCAAAGTCTCTCCATACAGTTTAATAAGCGATACCTTAAACGACGCCAAATTAATGCACCTATACACAAACAAATACGGGACACAGGATATAATTTTTTTTTCGACTTTTCCTGAGTTTTTAAAGTCAAAATGTCGTAAAAAATACCGCTCCAAAATCATCATTTTTGCATTTCAATGCTTTATAAGTATTTCCCAGGCGGTAAGCTGAAATTACAAAGTGTTTGGGCTTAACTTCTAGCTGTTTTAATTATCTTTTCTAAATAGAAAAGTTCTTTACAACTAGACGTAAGATACTAGAGTTATGTGAAAAAAACAAGCGCCACCTCTGAAAAAAGCTTAAAAAAAATACCAGTTTTCAAAAATTCTTTAAAAAAAGTTCTGCCATAGGAAAAAAAAAATATCATCAAACCATTTCTAAGCCCCAAATCTATAAGAAAAAGTTGGTTTTGTTCCTTGGGGAAAAATCGTGTCGGGTAGTGTTATAGCCTTTAATTTTTTTTAAAGAAGAAGTATTTTTTTATGGCCTAATTTTTTTTTTTAATTTTTTTAAATTGATATTTTTTAATGTATTTTTCTGAGGTAGAGCTTCTTGTTTCTTACATAACTTAAGTATCTTACATCTAATTAATGAACTGTGCCATTCTAAAAAGCTGATAAATGCATCTATAAAGTAGACCCGAACACTTTATAGCTTCATCTTACCGTCTAAGCTTTCAAGTACAAAAACAATGATTGTTGAGCGTTATTTTTTTTCAAAATTTTTACTTAAAAATTTGGGAAAAGTTGAAAAAAATTATATCCTGTGTCCTTTAATTTTGTATGTATAGTAGGCTGGGCGAAATTCAAACGGGACACCCCCTAGTTTTGTTACCATCGATTTAATAGTAATTTACATGTTTTTAATTTTTTAGAGGTTGCTACCGAACTTTACAAAAAATTTTAATCAAAAATATTAGAAAAAAAAATGTTTGCTGAATGAGTTGGATAAATGGTGAAATCTATTGCATATATATTAATACCATTAATATCGTCATTAAAGCCTAGTACTCAGATCGAAAAACTGTTTGCCATCAAACGAATGTCATATATTCTTCGAGCAGCCAGTGTGTGACCAGAGGTGTGCACTGCATTCCGAACGGTTACTCTGCTCAGACAGCTGCTTGGTTTTGTTTAAAGTTAACAAAATGCACTTCTTCGGCTGGGCCGCTCTTCCCCAGGCATATCCTGGGCTCCCCAATATTTTATTGGAAAGGTAATGTGTCTGACTATCAGCAGCAGCAGATGGCGACGCCACCCGTGCCGACCACCGTGAAGACAAACTATTTTGAAAGCAATATTTGTTTTATATATATGAAAATAAATAAAAATATTATATTATAATATCCATATAATTGTCTTTTATATAATGCTGCATTAATTAGATTCTATTTGTCTTCACTATTAAAATATTTCATTTGGTTTTTTATTCTCTTATTGGAATGCTTGCTTCGTGTTTTCTGGCAAAAGATATCAAATTGATATCTATTTCGAGGTGGGTCGAAACATACCAAAAAACAAGCAAATACTTCTGATACTTTTACAGTATATACCGACCTTTTTGTTTTTTGATCTGAGTACTGCCTTCCGTACAGAACCTTCTAGACTGTTTTCTAAACAGTTTTTGCCGTAAAACATTTCTTATCGGTTTCATACGAATATCAACCCTGATTCTGTTCGCTAGGTGTTTTTTTCGATCTGAGTACTAGCTTAATCAGTTATTGGCAGTAAAAAACCTGCACAAGTTTTTGCGAACTAGTTATATAAATAAACCTCAGCTAAACTTCTTGATTTTACTAATCGTTAATTTTTTAACAGTCACTAAAAAAAATCAAAATACCTTATTATCAATATGAACTAGTTTCAAAATTTTAATATTATTTAAAAAAAATTTCAATTTTTTTTTAAATGTATGTACTTATGTATGTATATGTATTTAACTAAAAAAGTGTATTTTCTTTTGTTTTCTTTTCAACCCCTAAACATTAAACTACAAATTTTAAAATTTTATTAAATAACAAAGAACAGAACTGAGGGGTGACCCCTTGAAAAAACAAAAAAAAAATTTTGGTGTCCCATAATTATTGGAACTTATTGAAAACATGTTCAATTTCGTTCGTATTTCATTCCGCATACCTTAAAACACACAACTTGTTAGATCCTTTGTGATGATTCGGCCCGTTTTTAAAGATAGCAACAAGATTGATTATCTTTAGAACACGTGAAGTGAATTCGAATATGAAGTAAATTATGATATACATTATTTGAATACGTATGGAAATGTTTATATCCGTTTATCCATTTGTTTATTCTATTTTCAAAATATGTTAGAATATAAAGGATTTACAAAATAACAGTTCTTCTGTTATTGTGGGGCATATGACAAAATTTAGATAAAAATGCTTTGGAATGCTACCAGCAATCCATGTGAGAATACGTGGCACATATACATACGTTCGTTTTTTCTACTTCGTAGTGACTAGACGTGTATTTGTTTTGCGCTCCGCATTTTCTACGCCCAAGTCTACTCCGCGGGACTTACAAGTGCCGACTGCCTTACTTACTCCTTCAGTGCAGCAGTTGATTACGTTTGTTACTATACTTTTTTTTATTCTTGTGTCCCACTTTCTTGTCCGGCATCTGGGAAGCCTCTTTGGTTTACCAAAGAGTTATCCAGTCAAAAAAACTTAAAACCAAGACTTTATAAAAAATTTCGAGAAGTTGGTTCTTCTTCTTCTCTCTCGCTATGTAATAGTTCGATCAAATTTCTCCGTTCTTAACGCTCAATGTTATACAAATTACATATCTCGAAGCAGGATACGCATTTTACAGCTTCGTAAAGAGTAAGCGTAGAACGCCCACACATCCATTCTCGCTATCTTACTCGTACTCAAAAAAGAGTTAAGAGGTATATTGTTTTTGTGGTAAAAGTTGATGTGTGCAACGCAGAGAAGGTAACATTTCCGACCCCATAAAGTATATATATCAGGGGTCGGCACACAGACTCACACATTTTTTTGGTGCGTTTGTGTGCGAAAACAACAGACACGAAGTCAAATACGTTACTTATTTCTCTGCCGCTGCGAAAGCCGAAGAATTGTGCAAAGGGCACACGAATGCTTCTCTGCCGCTGAGGCAAGCGGGCAGAATATGAAGCCGTTTGTGCATAGGCCGAAGCATGTTTCTCTGCCGCGACGTCAGCAGAGCAGAATTTTCTCTGCTGGTACGTCATCAGGCAGAATAACGAAACCACACGAAGTCTTTACGCTGTACGTGTGCCGACTGCGCTGCCCGAAATCTGCTGACCTCTGATATATATTCTTGATCAGCATCAATAGTCGAGCATCAGACTATTGATCAGCATCAATAGTCGAGTCGATATAGCTATGTCTGTCTGTCTCGATGAGCGCCTATATCTCAGAGAATATAAGAGCTAGGGCAACCAAATTTGGTTTCCAGACTCATGTGATATCACACTGCTACAAGTGTATGTCAAAATTTAGTCACGCCCCCTTTCGCCGCTACAAAGGACGAAAATCTGTGTCAGGCACAATTTTAAAGATACGATAAAACTAAAAACGCAGAATCGTAGAGAATAACCATTGTCGAATCTGAATCAGATTGGATCATAATTATAGCCAGAACGAAGAAATTAATTTTCAGTTGCTTTCCCCGCCTACTTCAGCCAGAAATCCACTATTCATCCGCTATTCAGAGCTCCGCTGTCTGTCTGTCTGTCTCGATGAGCGCCTATATCTCAGGGAATATAATAGCTAGGGCAACCACGCCCCCTTCCGACCCCACGAAAATCTGTGGCAGGCACAAGTTTAAAGATACGATAAAACTAAAAACGCAGAATCGTAGAGAATAACCATATCTACCAGATTGTCGAATCTGAATCAGATCGGATCATAATTATAGCCAGAACGAAGAAATTAATTTTCAGTTGCTTTCCCCGCCTACTTCAGCCAGAGATCCGCTATTCATTCTGTTTCTCGCTCGCACACTCTGCCTCGTTCAGTGCGCGAGCAACCCCTAGCGGAGGAGATGTGGGATCTCAATGGTACATGTAGAATCTACATGTTAGATGTAGAATATACATAGTAGATGTAGATAACATATTTAGCAAAAAAATTCAATTCTAATATTCAAAAAAATCATATGCTCAAAAATGTAAATACTGACTGAGCACGGGTATAGGTAGTCGCTTCTGAGGACGCGACTCTCACGTTCCTTCTCGTTTTTTTATTTCCTAGAGTGTTTTAAAAGAATTGTGCCTATCTATATATGTATAACTTAATGCAAGTAAGTCTAACTTGGCAGGCAAACCGAGCAAAAAAGTTTTCCATTGAAAAATGGAAACTGCCCATACGACAGCTCTGGCGTCATTCGAATAACAAATCTTCCTCCAAAGAATCAATAACACTAGCGATAAATTGGAAGTTTTGATTCTTTTATTTAATAATGAGTGTGTCTTCATCAATGTATTAATGTACAATGACAAACTTAATTTACGATCTTTTCTACATATATCGATTTAAAATATTAACTTAAATAATGCTGAAAAAAGTACAGTGAAGTCACTGTATTTACATTCCTACAATGTGCAGGGAATGCTTATGTATGTATGTATGTACATACCAAGTAATAGTACAGTTCATCTAGACACATACATTTATAATAATAATTATTGATATATACATATGTAAGTATGCTAAAAGTTACATTTTTCTTTTTCTATTCCAGCCTATAAACTACATATGTATGTATGTAAACAAACCTATATTTTGTAATTTCATGTAAACAGTGAGATTTATGTTACCTGTATTTAAAATGTTTTAACTATTTAAAGTTTTTCGTCAACTAGACATGTTTTCATACATAAGTATTTTTAACTTCCCTAATCAGCTGACACAAACACAATGGAGTTTCATATGGAAACTATCGAGACCCTATCGATTATAAAAATGATGATATAATTTTGGTCGTATTACACTATTATCGTATTATATTACACTAAAGCCTATTTACATTGACATGAGCTACCTATCAATTGTTGAATTAACTCAATAACAAAAAATTGGCGTTTACACCGGCACAAACTCGAGTTATTATGTTATGAGTTTTGACAATAGCACGTTCTACGCGTCTTATGGACAGAAAATTCAGTACACATATTTAATTGAACAATATTAAAAGCAAACCATAACAAGAATTTAAAATCCGGAAAAAATATTTAAATGAAATAAACTATTTACTGGGTGGCAAGTTTTTACCTCGAAACTATCAGGCAGGGTTCCGGTTTTCACATTCACTTTGCCCTTTACTTTTCAGCAAAAAGTCATACTTTTAATTTCAAGGCGCTCTGGAATCCAGTTTTGTGAATTTTTTTAACTCTTTGTACTGTTATACCTACGCGTAGGTGCCAGCTCATACAAAAAGGACTCTATTATGTTGAACAGAGATTTATCGATAGCCAAATCGGGCTGCAACATCTGTTAAGATGAATTCACTTTTTGTTTTTGACCTGACCAATTTTTTATGATCTAATTTCGAGGTTGGCTTAATTAAAAATTATTTATAAACGCATACTTAATTGCACTAGTAATGGTGTCAATTTCATGTCAATGCATCATTAAGTCATCTATTTTTTTCCTTTTGCAATTAAGATTTGTTTAGTTGTAAAAAGAGCCGTTTTTTTCATTTCGGCGAGGAATCTGTTGCCGTTTTGAAAACGGAAAAGTCTTGCGTTTTACGAGTGCGGGAGCGCCTGACTTTTTGTCTTGAAAAGTAAAACACATTTTTTTTTGTGTAAGTGAAAACCGGAGCCTGCCTACCAGAGATTTGACAAAAGATTTCGTAAAATTAAAATAAAGGGATTAATAGTATTAATACATTTAATGCATTCAGTAGGCTGGTCCAAAATTTGATCAACAACTGTTTTTTATACCCATACTCAAAAAAGAATTAAGTATATTGTATTTTTGGTACAAGTGGATGTGTGCAACGCAGAGAAGGAAGCGTTTCCGACCAAATAAAGTATATATATTCTTGATCAGCATCAATAGACAAGTCGATATAGCCATGTCCGTCTGTCCGTCTTGATGAGCGCCAAGATCTCAAAGACTATAAGAGCTAGAGTAACCAAATTTGCTTTCTAGACTCATGTGATATCACACTGCTACAAGTGTATTTCAAAATTTTGCCCCGCCCCCTTCCGACTCCACTAAAGACGAAAATCTATGGCAAGCACAATTTTAAAGATACGATAAAACTAAAGACCTACCAGATTGCCGAATCTGAATTAGATCGGATCAAAATTATAGCCAAAATGAAGAAATTAAATTTCTGTTGCTTACTCTGCCTTCCCCCTGCCAGAGACACGCTACTCATTCTCCTTCTCGCTCGCACACTCTGCCACGTTCAGTGCGCGAGCAACCCTAGCGGAGGAGATGTAGAATCTTAATGGAACATCTATAATCTACATGTTAGATTATAATATACATAGTAGATGTAGATGTAGATAACAGATGTAGCAAAAAAATGTAAAATTTAATTTTTTTTAATTCTAAAATTCTAAAGAATTATAAGCTCAAAAATGTGTGTACTGACTGAGTACGGGTATAAATAGAACCGCGTCCCCAGAAGCGACTCACACGTTCCTTCTCGTTTTTTTTTTAAAGCGGACAATACCTTATTCTGTTCTTTGTTAGTAAATAAAATTATAAAATTTTGTCATATTTTTACTGTAATGCTTGGAGGTTGCTACCACGAAAAAAATACACTTTTTTGGTTAAATATACATTTTAAAAATAATTGAATTCGTCGGTTTTTTTTCAAATAAAATTAAAATTTAGAAACTAGTTCTTTTGATAAAATTGTATTTTTTTTAGTTACTGTTAAAAAAGTAACGATTGGAGGAAATCAGGAAGTTCAGCTGAGCTTGATATATTTAGTTAACTAGTTCGCAAACACACTACTCGACAAAATCGAACTTTTTTTTTCCTCAAGGATCCAAACCGACTTTTTCTGATAAATACGGGGCTTTAAAATTGTTTAAAGAATTATGGTTTTTTTTTCTATGGCAGAACTTTTTTTGAAGAATTTTTGAAGTCTGTTATTTTTTTTAAATCTTTTTTCAGAGGTAGCGATTGTTTTTTTTCACATAACTCTAGTATCTTACGTCTGGTTGTAAAGAACTTTGCTATTTTGAAAAGATAATTGAAACAGCTAGAAGTTGAGCCCAGACACTTTGTGAATTCAGCTTACCGTACCATATAAAGCATTGAAATGCAAAAATGATGATTTTTGTGCGGTATTTTTTACGACATTTTGACTTTAAAAACTCAGAAAAAGTCGAAAAAAAAATGATATTCTGTGTCCTCTATTTTTTGTGTATAGGTTCATTAATTTGGCGTCGTTTAAGGTACCGCTCATTAAAATCTATGGAGAGACTTTCGAGCTAAAATTCGTTAACCAAACCTAAAATATGGAAAAAATGAACAAAAAATACCTTTTGGAAGGTTGCGGGCCAAACTGCCAAATGGGAACAAAGCAAACGAAAAAGGGTTGTACATTTGGTACCTGATCGCGTTCTTTTGTTTCCAGTGGGCAGTTGGGCTCGCAAACTTCCGAAAGGTATTTTTGCATTTCAATGCTTTATATTTCCCAGACGGTAAGCTGAAATCACAAAGTTTTCGGGCTTAACTTCTGTTTTAATTATCTTTTAAAAATAGCAAAGTTCTTAACAACCAGACGTAAGACGTGCCCGTTATGTAAAAAAACAAGCGCTACCTCTGAAAAAAGCTTAAAATAAAAATACCAGACTTCAAAATTCAAAAATTCTTAAAAAAAAATGTCTACCATAGAAAAAAAACCATAATTCTTTAAAAAATTTTAAGGCCCCATATCTATCAGAAAAAGTCCGTTTGGATCCTTGAGGAAAAAAAGTTCGAATTGTCGAGTAGTGTTATGTGGATTTTTATATTATCACAGTTCGGATGGCCATATGTATTTTATACTACGGGCACTTTAGGACTTGGATGGTGTTGATAATGGTATTTGCTCGCTTATAACACACCTCGTGAATATCCTCGTATTACTAAAGAATAACTAAATTACATTCAGCTAAATGTTAGTAAAGAGGTAAAAAATACCAAATTAAAAGTACCATGGCTGCAAAAATTTAAGTCTTTGACAGCTTGGGAAATTGCAATTACAACATTTTGAAGGATATTCCTGAATTATTTTTATTGTAAATGGACCCACATTTATGGGCATATGAAATTTTAAACAATTGGTTTTCTATCGGGAATGCCTTTTATTTGTTTATACTTCTCATCGGACCTGTTTTGTTATATTGCTTATATTGTTATATTTTGCAAAGTCTTAAATCTTACCAAAGATGTTGCATGAGGAGCAAATGCTCGCTCAATTTTCAGTACGGTCGCGCGGGGTATTTCTTCCATTCTCCTTTAGGCTAGCCTTTGACTATGCTTTCAGCTTCGTCAATGCCTCGGCCCGCGTCGAGTCGAGCGACAGAATACACCAACAAAATATGAAGTCTGACGACGGGAATAGGTCCAGGGCCTGAGCTATCTCGAGGTGGCTCGGCTCGTTTCTTACGAACAGACAAAGCCGTCGGGCAGCAGAGCTGTCGGCATAGCCAAAAAGAGAATTGAAACCCCGCGCGCTCCCTCTGTCCAAGGGGCACACCGATAAGCTCTCCATAGAACAGCTTTTTGGTCGCTCATGCAGCATCTTGGTATTGTATAGTCCTTGATCTTACTAAAGCGAGCGTTATCACAGATCATTCCAGGGTTATTAATTTACTGTATAGCATATGTAGATAGTACTACCTGACACGATTTTTCCCCAAGAAACCAAACTAACTTTTTCTGAAAGATTTGGGGCTTAGAAATTGTTTGATGATATTTTTTTTTCTATTGCAGAACTTCTTTTTTTTAAAGCCTTTTCTCAGAGGTAATAATTGTAATAAACTTTGCCATTCTGAAAAGCTAATTGATGCAGCTATAAATTTAACCCAAATTTGGTCGCTTCTTTAACGCCATGGATAGTGCAACATATTCGGCCTCCGTACTGCTACGGGCGACCACACTCTGCTTCTTGGATTCGAATGAGAATGCAGCCCCTGCAGCAAAGAAGGCCCAACCGCTGTATGATTCTGATTCGCTTGCCCAATCTTCGTCCACAATGGTAATGAAACTGTCGATCAGCCGTGCTGCTCAGGTATCGAAGCACACGTTTGGCAGCGACTTTATATTCAGTGTGGGGATGGTGATAGCCAGATACATCAGAGACCCAATCAATGATTGATAGCCCACCTGATTCACATGTAAGCAGGATTGTCGCATTTTACTTGATTTCCTGCCTCTAGTGGTGTAGCATTTGGCTTACAGCACTGCATAGAGTAATCTCTGAGTAGATCGTCTATATACTGCTTGTGGCCAACTCCCACGCTTCTGGTATCGCCATCTTTCTCCACTTCCATGCCTAGGAAATGCTTTAGTTGTCCGCCATCGACCACAACAATAATTCAAAAACGAGAAGGAACGTGCGAGTCGCTTCTATAGACGCGACTCTACTTATACCCGTACTCAGTCAGTATATACATTTTTGAGCTTACGATTTTTTAGAATTTAAAATTTAAAAAAAAAAAATTTTACATTTTACATTTTTTTGCTACATCTGTTATCTACATCTACATCTACAATGTATATTCCACATCTAACATGTAGATTGTACATGTACCATTTATATTCTACATCTCCTCCGCTAAGGGTTGCTCGCGCACTGAACGCGGCAGAGTGTGCGAGCGAGAAACAGAATGAATAGCGTGTCTCTGGCAGGGGGAAGGCAGAGTAAGCAACAGAAATTTAATTTCTTCATTTTGGCTATAATTATGATCCGATCTAGTTCAGATTCGGCAATCTGGTAGATATGGTCGTTCTCTACGTTACTGCGTTTTTAGTTTTATCGTAACTTTAAAAGTGTGCCTGCCACAGATTTTCGTCTTTTGTGGGGGCGGAAGGGGGCGGGGCGAAATTTTGAAATACACTTGTAGCAGTGTGATATCACATGAGTCTGGGAACCAAATTTGGTTTCTCTAGCTCTTATAGTCTCTCAGATCTAGGCGCTCATCAAGACGGACAGACGGACATGGCTATATCGACTCGGCTATTGATGCTGATCAAGAATATATATACTTTATGGGGTCGGAAACGTTTCCTTCTCTGCGTTGCACACATCCACTTTTACCACAAATCTAATATACCCCTTAACTCTTTTTTGAGTACGGGTATAATTAGTAGAAATTTTTCTAGTATACAAATCCGGCTCGCTTGGACCTGATAGAAAACCAAGCTTGATGAGTGTAGAATGGAGTTTCTCGTTAAATTCCCTGCCGCTCTGTTTCAGCCCATACAACGATTTGTGCAACTTCAGCACACGCTCAGGTCAATAAATTCCTCCGGCTGACGCATCTAGATGACATCATGTAACTCGCTATTAAGATACGCTGAAGAAACGTCCATTTGGTGCATATACCACCCGTGTTCTGCAGTCAACGCCATAACCAGCCTGATCGTTGAGAATCTGGCAACAGGTGAAAAAGTCTCGGTGAAGTTGACTCCGTATCGCTGAGCACAACCCTTGGCAACAAGTCGTGCTTTGAAGCGCTCGACATTGCCATCCTTGTTACGCTCTATTGTGTATACCCACATACATCCGATTGGTTTTTCACCATTTGGTGAAAACAACTAGAGACCAAGTCTTATTTTTTAGAAGACTGTTCATTTCCGTTTTCATTGATGCACGCCAGTCCGATGCATGAATACTCGTCAATGCCTCATTTTCATTAGCAGGGACAATAATATCTTCAGTCTATATGGTGTTCAGCATGTGATATTCCTTCGCTGTATACACCTAGGTCTCTCGCGACCCCTTCGTGCTCCTTCTGAGATCGTCTCGCCGACGACCGACTGTCTGTCATCGTCATCTCGATCTGAACCTTCTGGCTCCTCTGTGTTTCGCATATCATCAACATCAACTAAGAATTTATCCTCACTAGCCACGTCAAGGGCCTCTTCGTCCGGAATAGAATGTTGTAGATGCTAAAAGTTGCGTCAGGACATATTCAGCAGCACTCGCCGAAGAATTGCGATTCTTGTACAGGGTGTTCTCGATGAAAATTACATCTCGTGCCTCAATCACTTTCTGTTTTTCGGGACTATATGCCTTTGCTGTTTCAGAATAACCGACCAAATAATGTTCTTCGCCTTTTGGCGAAAATTTTTTATGGTGAGTTTTATTGAAAAGAAAGGCCTTCGCACCAAAGATCCGCAGATGGCCGACACAGGGCTTCCTTCCCGTCCACACTTCAAACGGTGTCATTTGAGGTAAAGTTGAAGATTCTGCACAGTTAAGCAAATATGCAGCAGTTTTTATTGCCTCTGCCCAGAATCGCTCGTCCAATCCTGCATGAAATAGCATGCTGCGTGCCATTTCTACCAATGTACGATTGGCTCGTTCCGCGACACCATACTGTTGTGGGGTATGAGGCACCGTTGGCACAGAAATGACTCAAACGCGTCGCTCAAGTATTCGCGACCTTAATCTCTTCTCAAGAGTACCACTTCTTACCCGATTGCTTGACTGTGACTGTGAGTGTGACTGATGAGTGCAGGATGTTAATTCGGTTTTTTTTTTTCTTTTGTGTTATGGGGTATACTTGCGGGTTCGGTGGAGTGTGATGGTGTGAGTGATGTGTCTATGACATGTGTGATGTTGTATATCAGGGGGGTTGTTGCGGCTTACGGATATTATCAGCCCAAATGTAGGCCATCGTGAGCTTCTCGTCTCACGCTCTACCGACTGAGAGGCCCGGGCTGATGTCCTTCGCATGGAACACTCCTATCCGTGCCTTCTGCAGCGTCTCCAGTTCATATAAGCTGTTTCCTAAGCTCCGGACCAATCTGCACTTTGAAATTGCTTAATATGAAGTTCCGCTTATACACTTCCTGTCCAGGTAAGTACCGGATCTCTCTGGCCTTTCAATCATACTGCTCCTTCGATCTCTTGTAGGCCTCATGCGAATTCTTCCGGACCTCATCGTGGATGATCTCCTGCTGGTCTTGTCTTACCACGAGTGATACTTGCGCGTCGTTCAGGGCTCCCAGTCTCCGTGCTAGTTTGTAGTCCCGCCCGCTGGTAAACATGTGCTGTCCGAGCAGCACAAAGTATGGTGATGTGCCGATGTCTGTGTGTATCACACTCCGGGCCGAACACTGTATCTCCGGCAGCTTCTCATCCCAGCGTGTTTGATCTTCGCTGACATAAGTGCGGATTGCTGCGAAAACGGTCTGATTTACGCGTTCTGCCGTGTTCGCCTGTGGTGCATAATTCCCCGATCACAAGAACTGTGCAAACTCGGCTTATACAAATTGCTTCCCGTTGTCCGTGCGTATCACTTCAGGAACGCCAAACTGTGCGAAAACCTCTTCATCAAGGAATTGGATTACGGCCGCCGAAGTGGCTTTGGGCAAGGCCGTCAGCCAAACAAACCGAGACATAAATAAACTCCCTCTCTCCAAAAAAAAACTACTATTCTGATGACCTTCCTATTACCTACTTCTAAAATTGTCTCTTAACAATCCTAGCGAGGATCTTCAGTCCCCAAAAATATGAGCTTCCAGAACAATAAGCAAACAAAGACAAAATTCTTTACTCCAAACAATTCACACTCGATTTATTGGGTGAGACGAGAGACCACTGCAACGTATCGTTGCTGCAGTTGAGCGAACCATCCCTTTTCCCTCGCTATTAATCTCCGCTTCTTTTTCTCTTCGGAGTGCCAACTCCTCTTGCTGTTTTTTTCCAGACCACAGCGGTTCCCCCGAGTCGGAAAACGATGCTGATGCCCTCTCGGCATCGCACGGACCACAACCCGACAGACCCACGATGTCTCTTCCTGTTTTTTCTGACCAGATCCGTGGATTCCTCGAGTCGGACAACGGCGCAAATGCCCCTAAGTCACCGCATGGACCACAACTCGCGAAGTCCACTCGTCACTTCTCTGTGGCCTCCACGAGTCGGGCAGCAAGGCTGACTACCTCTTCTGACTACCACCTCGAGTTCCTCCTTTTTTATTCATTGGTCCGCAAATGTCAGTATGCCAATCCAAGAACGTTGTTTGCACGGCTTGCACTAGCTTTTGGGAATTGCTTTGCACAAATTTTGAATTTTTCGCAGGTTTCACACACCTGGCCATTCATATCATGTAATGTACTGGTTTTAATGCCGTTGACCATTTTTTCACAAATCATATTTTTTGGGCTTCCATAGTTTAAATGTCCGAAACGATCGTGCCGCAAGTTTACCGGATTTGTTTGTACATTTAAACATTTGTTTTCTTGATTTTGAAACGAGAACAAATCGTTTTGCTTTTTTACCACCAATATGGCGACGCCCCTATTGTTTTTCATACGCGCTTCTGTCTTTGTAAATTCAACAGAGAAACCATTTGCGATGGCCTTGGTCACTGACATAAAATTGCATTGCAATTCCTTCACATACAAAACGTCGACAAGTTTTATGTGGTGTGAGGTCCTATTTCAGGCTGTGGTAAGCATCAGTCTGTCCAGGGTCCGCTACAAGAAAATTTGTAGATTGCTGGTTTTTGGTTTTGCTGGTGTTTATTATTTTTATTACTTAATTCTTTGTGGGTTTGTTTACGATGGATTATTCGCGGATCTTGTTACTTGGCCTGTGAGCCGGTGGACTGCTTAGTCAGTGACTCGTGTTCGGGCTGATGGACTGCCTAGTGCAGTGTCT